AATTCAGATAAGCATATACTAAAGAACTAGAAGATTCTTCAGGAATTCTCATGTGTTGCTTGTTCTCATAATGAATTGATTATACCAGCTAAAGTTGGGACTAAGACCCCTGATTCTGAAATATATAAAAGGTGAATATGGGCCCGTTCACCTATCATGTGAACCACTTATAGGTGCATATATGAGATGGTTACATGTGTAATTATTGTCAACCTGCAGTTTGGCATTTGGAATTGCTTTTCTCGATTAAGAGCATAATTTTCAGATTATGAAATCAAGACAGTTCATCTTGATAATGCTGGTTTATATCCAAGCTGGTTTAGCATTGAAAACCTCCTGTTAATGGCTAAACCATTGCTTTTGAGAACAAAGCTTCATGTGTTGGTCTAAGATTTTCTAAATTGCATATAGCAACACTTGTATGCATCAGATCAATAATATATGATAAGTCCTCCCTTCACAATTGGTTTAGGATTGGAAAGCAAATATTTTTACTATCTTTTGTTGTGTGGTATATGATTAATTTCTCTACCATAATACACAAAGATATGTTTCCCAAAGATGATTGGGGATATATGTTAGTTTTTCTAACATTTGGGGGATGGAATAAACAGTTGAAAAATATGCTATATGAATCGAATTATCATGATCCTCACTTAGAAGATAATTCAAGTCGAATGCCAGAAGCATTTGCTGATCCAAAATTAAATATCATATTTCAGCTGCAAATGCTCCTATTAAAATTAAAGTCCCTGAAGGATAGAGTTTACTGTACGCATGAAGCGTGGTAGACCAATCGGTTCCAAAGGTAACAATCCTTGAAAAATAGTAGGAGCTAATGATCAAAATGATCATAATGAGGAGGAAATATGCTATAGAAGAGCCCACGACATAACATTTCATGAAACTTCCGAAAAAGTTCAGGTACCTGGAAATAAAGAAAGTGATGAGATCTCTACAAGTTATGTCGCTTCGGAACTGACACAAAATGATCGTCGACGGTATATTTGATACAATATAGTGCACAATATTATAAAAGATTGTGAGGATCGGACCAGCAGTCCTGAAACGTGAACATGTCATACCATTTAAATATAAGTCTTAACCTATATGACTTATTTGACTAAATCTATATGAAGATCCTTGAAGGATTGAAAATGTCCGAAGCATATAATTCAAAGTCTTGAGAAATGTACTTGATCAAATTATAAAGATCTTTGTACGGTTTAAAGCAATCTGTGCGCGTGTGGTATAATCGCCTCAGTAAATATTTGCTGAAAGAAAGTTACATAAATTATGTTATTTGTCCATGTATTTTTATAAAGAAAATGTCATCAAAATTTGTTACACTTGCTGTTTATGTTGGTGACATAAATCTTATTGGAACTCCGGAAGAGCTCCAAGAGGGTCTTAAAAATACTTTTACATGGACAAAGCGTACCCATTAAGTATACCAATGAATATTCAATCACTTGAAGTGAATAAGAAACCGTTCCAACCTCTAGAAGAGGATGAGGAGCTCCTTGGTCCTGAAATACTCTATCTCGGTGTAGATGGTGCACTTATTTATCTTGCTAATGCTAACAAAAGTGGTGCAGATCGTATAGGTAATGCAGATGCAGGTTATTTATCCGATACCCATAAAGCTCGATTTCAAACCGGCAAGCAGGGAGTGCATATGATTGAGATCAGTGATTCATTCGAGAAACATATGGGTTGGAATGTGATGAAAAACCCACAATATTATACAGAGACAATGTTTCATGCATAGCCCTATTAAAGAGAGGATTTATAAAAGGAGATAGAACGAAGCACATTTCACCAAAATTATTCTACACACACGATCTTCAGAAAAATGGTGACATTGATGTGCAACAAATCCGTTCAAGTGATAATCCAGCAGATTTATTCACTAAATCTTTGCCAACTTCAACTTTTGAGAAGATGGTATACAAGATTGGAATGCGGAGACTCAAATATTTGAAACAAGGTTTTCATCAGGGGGAGTAAAATACGCGATGCACTCTTTTTCCCTTACTAAGGTTTTTTCCCATGGGGTTTTCCTTATAAGGTTTTTAATGAGGCACCTAGCAATGCGTATTACTAAATATGTGTACTCTTTTTCCTTCACTAGGATTTTTTTCCACGTGATTTTTCCTAGTAAGGTTTTAATGAGACACATTATCTTTTAATGAACATCCAAGGGGGAGTGTTATAAATATATTATATTATGGATGTTCATTTAGTACTTCGTTGTAAATAATCTTCCTGAAGAAGCTTATCCATATGAGACTCCACCGTAAATATGTTTATCTATTTAGTACTCTATTGGAAATAAGCTTCCTGAAGAAGCTTATCACTTCGGTACCCGATTATGGATAAACATTACCCTAGGTAGAAGATTATCCATACCGGGTATAATAAGCTTATCCATTCAGTACTCCGTTATGGATAAAAATTGCTCTCAGTAGAAGATTATCCACATCTGGTATAGTAGCAACTTACACAGCAGCTTGCAATAGCAGCTTACATAGCAACTTGCGTAGCAGCTTACACAACAACTTCCTTTCTTCTATAAATAGAAGAGATTTCAGTTCATTATGTACATCAATTTGAATTCGAATAATATATCAGTTTCTCTCTATACTTGTCTTTACTTTATAGTCTTTATTTTATAACAAGATTGATCATGTCACTCATTTTTAAAAGATGGTTTGAGAAACTTCAAAGAGCTTTGCTTAAAAAACAGCAAAATTGAGAACCTAATTAGGGAGAATTTCTTGTTATGGGCAAAACGGACATTTACTTTTAAAGGCTTCTTATACAAATAATTTTATATTTGAAACATGAAAGTGGTTAATTATTATAAAGACATATCTCAACGGGAAATTTTATAATTCATCATAAATATGTAAAACAAATAACCTTATACCAGAAAAAGATTTTCTTTGTGTAATATGAGTATTATTCTTGTCCCTATATGATAAGTTGGAAGACAACCTAAAGTAATTACAAAGTACAAATCAAATTAGTGCATATTATTTGAGTTTCTGATTTAATCATTAAATTTCAAACAGATCGTGTTATATAATGTTTAGTAATTATTTAATACTTTCCAAAAATATTCAATCATAAAATTTGACAATTTTCATATGACTGCAAAATTGGGACTAGACCATACAAGATGAGTGTGTCCTTTTATCTTTAGTTTCTAATTTTATCCAAGGAAGAGAGTGATATATCTTTGATTTCACCAAGAAGACATTTTAGTCATTTGATAAAGAAAATAAATATATAAAAAATAAAAAATCATTATACATCCTAAATAATCGTAGTGACCATTTTAGTAATTTTGAAGAACTGAAAAGAAAAAGGAAAGTCATAATCAAGTCAGCAGAGGCCTTCAACACTCGAAATCCCTAAAAGGCTAAAAGCCTAAAACACAGAGCTCACCCAACACTTCAGGAAAGAAAATTCAAATGAATTCCATTTTCAGATTTTTGCCGCTCGCTGATTATTACCATATTTCTCTTGATTTTCAGAATTATAAACTTTTCTGAATCTGGGTGTTGCCGAAATATAACTGCAGTTGAATTTCCCATCTTTTCTCCAGCAGCTATTTGATGGATTCTCATTGGAGGTACTTGAACGATCACATCTTACATTTTCACTCATATACTGCAAAACTACTGATTTTAGCTCTCGTTTTACACAAGAGGGAATAAAAAATAGAAACCCTATATAAAATTTACTAGCTGTTTTCTGAGTAGACCAAACTCCAAAGTCAGGTGTTGGTGTTCATGTTTTTGAGTGTTTCTGGATACTTTCGTTAGTTTGTAGTGTAGAAAGTAACACTTTCTGGTGAAAATCTTGTAAATGCAGATACGCAGCTGTTTTTCACAGCTCAGTTTAGTTAAAAGGATATGCTGAAAAGATCAAATCTTGTTATTGGTTATATGCTAAAGGTGGAATATCTATGCTATTGAGGCGTACATTTATAGAAGAGTTTCCTTGAGATGACATTTTACTGGCAAAGACTGTCAAAAATTGTTACGGCTAGTTCAATGTTGGTTGGGCCTTTCTGGCTGTGGGTTCTGTGTATTTTGTTGCTTAGGAAATAGTGCCGAAATGAACACTTTGATTACCCGGAAACAATTGTTCCTAATGAATTGCCAAGGATGGAAGGCGCATATTTTCTAAATAAATTTCTTAAACCTACATGGCACTGCCAGTGAAAGGGGCGCACTTCGTAAAATTTAGCATTTATTTACAAAACATTGGGTCTTTGCTTTTGATAGAGAGCAAAAAATTTCAATAGAAAACATCTAAGGGGGGATCAAACTGGTAGACAATCAAGCATACAAATGCAAATAACTTCTTACTCTGTGGATGCTGAAGCTTTTCTTATCTGAAATATGTATGAACAATTTTGTGACCATTTAATGTGTGGTTGTGATTTTCTTGTGCTTTGCGAAATCATATAATACACATGTAGGAAATGATTTTCTTTCATAATTGTTAAAGAAATCATTTCCTACTGGTGCATCATATGAACTTTCACTTGATTACTCCGGTGAAGCTCTTATTACATTGGGTTTGGGTCCTATGGTGAATTAAATCTTTTTATGAAAAGTTAGATAATTTTTAATACTAGTGATTATCATTATGGAAATCAATGTTGTTTTTTACTTGTGCACTCCAGAGCATCTCACACTTCTTTGCCGAATTATGGTGAAAATAATGGTTCAATTCCGCTGCATCCGGAGCCGCTTAATGTGGCCCCCATTAGTTGTGTGCCATATACTGGCCCTCCTATACCATACGGTTATCCTGCTTCATCGTCACCAGATATTAATGCGGGTCCAGTTTCAGTTGAAGCTGATACAACTTCAGCGTCCAAGCATATCAACTCTCAGCAGCCTTCTGGGAGTCAGCCTGCAATGGTTTTTTTCTCTGCTTGTCCAGCCAAAGAGGAGTGGGATAATCTCATAATTTATGCCAATGGTGGGGTTGCACTTACTGGGTCAGCTTTGTTGGGAAAGATTGGACCACTTATTGGATCAGTTGATATTGGTGAATCTGAGGATGACTATGTATTTCGTGTTTCACTCCCTGGTGTCGCAAGGGATGAAAGTAAGTTATATATTCTTAAGTAGCGAATCACCAAATCTTCTTATAACTCTTACATCAGAACGTTTGATATTTTAATGCATCAAATATCCCTCTTATCTGTGACCATATGTTCTCTATATGAGTATAATTGGTTGATGCAATGCAGAAATACCATGCTGAAAAATATGCTTCATTCTCCACTGTACTCGGATAAACTTTGTAGTTTACTTTTTCTCAAAATGTTAGCCCTTTAATTCACTAAAAATTGGATATGAAATCAATGTATGAAGTCTATCAAAATATTTATTTTTGAGCACATCATAACCATGTAGTGAGAAACAGCGCCATCAGTCCATAAAGAGCTTTGTGAAGTTGGCAAACATTTTCCTGGAGCGGTATCCAGAAAACCAAGAGGTTCAGACATATAAGCCTCATCATCAAGAGTTTCATTTCTTCTTCCATGAAGAGTCTAACAAAACCGAGTTTGAGCATAACTGAAATTTGGCGAATGAATACGAAGGTCAAAGGCTTTGTTCTTGACATTAGTCAAAGAATATCTGTACGCTTTCTTTTTCTTCTTTTCTATGTAGATTAGTGTTCTTTTCCATCATTTCCTTTCGCTGATGGAAAAATGCTTTCTTTCTAGGACCACATATTACTTGCATATGCCTTCTTCCCAGCTGTGCAATGAGCTATAGAACCTTATCTTTTTTGTCATTCTGCTGTTTCAAGCAATGTTTCAGTTCGCCTACCTTGATAAACTGGCTCTCTCCTTGAAATGCCTCCCTACTGGAGTTTTGTTACTCCACAGAAGCTATCATCTGATCAGCAGGGTCTGCGAATGAGATTACTTTAGGGATGTGTTTTCTCTCCAGCTTATCATATCTTTGATCTATATACTTCTCTGATACATCAGCGTCACATTTATGTTTAGCTTATGTGGATGTGTTATATTTCACCTATGAACATCAAGATTATTTTGTGTCTTTTAATGCAAGTTTTTTTTTATAACACTGGGATGCTCTTGTTTTTGCTTCACAAAAGGGTTTTCTATTTTTCCTCTAAGTGATCTTATACCAAGTTGAATCTGTATGTCGAACTGCATCTATATGAATCCAATTGATGATTAAGAGATTTCCTGTTCATGTGGTTACAGAGGTCTTTCGCTGTGATGTCGGACCTAGTGGGAAAATTGTCATAAAAGGGGTGAGCGTGACCGGAGAGGACATGGTTTGCAGGGACAACATGGTTTTTAAGATGCAAACTCTGAACCTATGCCCACCAGGAGAATTTTCCATTTCATTCCAGCTACCAGGACCAATTGATCATCAAAACTTAACTTGTGTTTTTGGATCTGATGGAATATTTGAAGGAGTTGTGAAGAAAAAAAGACAACAGTTCCTTTAAGGGGGCTGTGGCATATTTAGATCATAATCCTTCAGCTTGGTAAGTACCTCTTCAGTCCAAATTACTTTGTTTGGAGTTGCATGTGAAAGTTGTGTCTCTGCCCTTCCCCACTTTCATATAAGTCAAGTACTAACTATCATATTGACCATTACTATATCAGAACAGATTATATAATTTCGATAATTAGCTTCTTGATCTATGAACAATCATTCTGCATAATTTTTGGTCTGTAAGCATATTGTTTAATGTTGAGCTTTACATTGCTTCGTAATTTGAAATAATTATTCTACATCATTAATCACTATTACATAAATGTCTCTTTTCCTGAAATTACTTCTCTGTTTTGCTTGTAGATGGTAGGAGAGAAAAGCTAAATTTGAGAAGAACAGGAACAATGCTGCAGTTGATTCCAGGACCTCTGTGCAGCTTTAAGCCTTATTTTGCATCATGCTTTAGTTCTTGTCTGTACGTCTTCTTGTTCTTTCCCTTGTTAAGACTTACTAAGGTCAGGGCTAACCGAACTAGGCCGCTTCTACAGTAACCAGTAGGGAAAGATTGTGTGCCCAGAATCTGGGCTATATACGCGCTTTCAGCTTTGCGTCAGCACTCTACCACATTACCCCTCCAAAAAAATGGATTTTGTTTTGGTATTCAAAGACCAAGTGTGTTGTCCTTGATTAATTGGTTTGCTATGGTACTCTTATGTCTAGCAGTTTGCAACAAATTGAAAAAATTTCCATTCTCTCCTCACAGGGAGCCCATACTTCATGAAAATTGTTCAAATATTGGTTTTTGGTACGGAGGAAAATGATTTCATGGAAAATATTTTTCGTGAAAAATGTTTTACCTTATTAAATCATTTTTCAAATCATTTCAGTGTTTGGGTAGGTATAAAAGCATATGACTCCGGGCGATCTTACAGGTATTGAATAAAGAATAATGTTTCGTGACAACAGTTCGCAGTAGTGAGATTGAACATGAGTTGGGGATCATTGTAAAGTACTTTTTCCATTTTGATACAACATGTTTTCTTATATTTTAATATGAATATGACACGTAATGCTCGTGTACACAAATATCAAACCTCATCTTTTTTTCTCTCCAAAAATATCAAACCTCATTAATGAAGGGAAACAAAGAACTTAATAAGACTTGATTGCGTGGAGTAGTATTTACCATATATTTCTCAAAGTCGTAGAATCATTCGTTGTCTAAAGAAAGTAATCAAGGCCTTTCGAAGTGATAATCTGATTCTTTGTAGGAGTAGTATTTTTCTTCTTTAATTCATTTACAAATAGTAGTGTCGACTCAAGGTCTACATCCTAATAAATATAAATGCTACATCATTAATATATAATTGCACAAATGCATCAACAGTGCATACCGTTGAAATACATATTCATACTGTAGAGCATTCTGAAGATTGAAAGGCACAAATTGATATTTGGCAAGGACAATTCCTAAATCATGACTATGACCTCGAACTACTATAGGTTCTTCCACACATGTCTAGAAGGTTCTTCCACACAAATCGAGTCTCATTCCGCAAGTATGTAAAATAAGATGACAAACTATTAAAAATGAGCAAACCTACTCAAAAGTGCAATTATATTTTCTACTAATTCTAATGTCATGTATGCATGTAAGATCCTATACTGGAGTATTCACGTAAGCAACTTATATTGTGGCAGAAGAGACCTTTTTGTATATGATAATCAAAGGGAGTGGGAAAGCTGCTACTCCCTTTGAATTTCAGCCATAGCGAAGCCAAAATTTGAAGCCAATGGGTTCGAAAATTTATTCCTTCTAAGTTACTGAGTTTTAATTTAATAATTTGTACAAATTCAATAAATTTTTAAAGATAAATATGGAATTCAAAGCTACTAGATTTGGTCAAACCCGCGTCCGAAGCTCTAGCTCTGTCCCTGATTTCAGCAGGACTTGTCCCTGTTGAGCAACTTTAAGTGAAATAAACTAAAGAATTGCGTGGTGTTACTGCTAAATATAGTTACTTCAGATTACCTATGATCTAGCTAATCTCTCTTAAGGTGGCAGTGTAGATACAAGGTACCCTAACTCCATGTGAGAAGCTAGATTTTTGGACTTAATTCTGAAACAAGAATGGTTAATCTACGATAAATTCCACAAACCGACAAGACAAGAAAAAATGCCACGATTCAGTTTCTTTCGTACGGTGCGAGATATGTAGTCATAACTTCTTTGTCCCGCACCTTTTGTGGTTGGTCAGTATTATGAGAGTAAGAGTAGTTGGGGCAATTAAAATGAGTAGTTGTGTTTTGCTATCTACAGTCATTTTAAGGCCCATGAATGCTTCAATTCGAGCTCATCCACTTGAGTCTGGACACTTCATCACCTTTCTACGTCACTGCCACTCATGGGTTTGGTACAAAGTGATGTGGAATATAATGTTCATGGACCTTTAAACCTAACAACTTGAACTTTTATATCTCATCTATCCTACCAAGTTAGATATTTTGATGAAATCTGGAAGTGTTATGTTCGAAATAACCAAGTGTCATGCCGAAGGTACTAACAATAACAACGAACCAAGTATATTATTACAACTGGGGCCTGGTCAGTATAGTGTGTATGCAGACCTTACCCCTACCTATTGGAGGCAGAGAGGCTGCTTCCAATAGACCCGCCGAAGGTACTAACACAAACGCTAAAATGACTATAAATCAAATAACAATGGATGGAAAAAGATCATTACAGAAATAGAGAAAACGACACCCACAAGTACTGTTGATCCTGTATGAGTGTTAACATTATTTGGTATGTAAAATTTTGTTTCGTGTCAGTAGTGTAGTACTAATCATGGTTTTGGGAAGAAATGATTAATTGGTTTCTAAAGGACTAAAAGTAAGAGTGGTTCCTAAACCAATTTTGTACTTAATTTAATTCACTGCGCGAAAGGGACATGCTGTCTTTTTAGACTAACTACGCCTTTGTCTTGGTGATAGAACTATATAATATATTGCAAAAGAAAAAAAAAGTGCATAGTTCAGAATACAGAAAATTAAAGGGCTAGTAAGCAGTATAGGTGCTGAAAATATGGTGAAAGAAAATCTACTAACTGGTGGATCAATATTTGTGGAGAAGAGAAATCACTGTGTCATTTATCCAGCCAATGGCAGTATGGTGGCGCAGTCTGTGGAAAGAAGAAACAAGAACTGGTAAAGTACATATTCTCTTTGTTTGTCTCAAAGTGATACTGATTTTAATTTTAATCCTCTGCAGTGGCTAATGAATGTAACAACACTAGTGCAGGTTTGTCCAGACAAAAATTCCAAGTGATTTGATAGTACAAATTAAAGACAAAAGCTTCCACTTGCATAAGGTAACAGCTACACTATCCATTTCTCTAATTGAGAGGAAAAATCCCAATGTCCGAACTGCATATTAGATAAATCTCAACATCAAACCATCTTTTAGCTTTCTGCTTGTTTTGTCGAAGAAGATGGTAGGTTAGCTAGTGCACAATCACAAGAAAATGAAGAAGAAAAACATAACACAACGATTTAACGAGATTTGGCTAAGTGTAGTCCTCGGGCAGAAGCAGAGAGAATTTTCCATGAATGAGAAGAATAACACAAAATCCTTTCTCATATTGGTTTGGGACTACTTGGGATCTATATATAAGGGTTGCATGCGGGGCTCCGTTTACTTATCCTCACGAGCTGAGGCCTTTGGGGTAAAACCATGCGGGCTTGGCCCTATATGAACAATATTATACCATCTTAAGAGTATCTCTGGGCTGGTTGATCCCAAGTACATGTTTTTTGGCTGATGTTTCCCATATTTATTTTTTTAAACCAATATTTGGTAAACTAGATGGAACAGGCATTCTTAGAGGTATATTTGTTGTGCAAAGTATAAATATGCTTTCTGTGGAACTTTTTTTCATTAATCTTTTCATTGTGCAGCTCTCCATGGTTTCAAGAAGTGGATACGTTAGCAGATTGGTATTTCATAGGAATGGGGACAACATTACTACAATTCAGATTGATGCAATCCCAGGTGGGGCTAATATCTTTGAATTAATAGTGAAATTTTGCTATGGACTGAAGATCAAAGCTACAGCTTCAAATGTCGCGCCACTGTATTGTGCTGCTCATTTCTTGGAAATGCATGATGATCTTCAGCCTGGAAATTTAATTTCTAAAACTGAGGCATTCCTAAGTTATGTAATCCTTTCGTCGTGGAAAGACACATTTAGGATCTTGAAAAGCTGTGAATCAGTTTCTTCTTGGTCTAAAGACTTGCACATTGTCAAGCGTTGCTCGGAAGCCATTTCTTGGAAAGCCTGCTCAGAAACTAGCACGAGTAGTATAGAAGACAATGAAGTTTTGGTGAATGTTATGACTGATGATACGACCAAGTTAAATGTCAAAAAGTTGAGCGGAAATTGGTTTTTCAAGGACGTTGCATCCCTAAGAATAGATCATTTTATCGAAGTAATTACATCGATCAAAAAGAGAAACATTAAGCCAGAGCTTATAGGGTCATGTATAGCTCACTGGACAAAGAAATGGATTTCTCAAATCACAGTTTCAAAACAGAAATCTAAAGATCAAGAATTGTCCATCCAACTACACAGAGTGACAACTGAATGTTTGATAAGGGTACTTCCTGTTGAAGAAAACTCAGTTCCCTGCAATTTTCTGCTTCATCTTTTCAAGATTGGGCTTATTATGAATATTGATCCCAGATTACAAGATCAACTCAAAACAAGAGTAGCTTTCTTGTTGGAAAGCTGTAGTACTAAAGACCTTCTAGTCAGGAACAGCACAACTCTTTTCGACGTGGATATTGTTGTTCAAGTGGTGGAAGCTTATGTCTCGCTAGCATCAAATAAGCCCAACTCAAAAATGTCTGTTGTCGGGAGGCTAGTGGATGATTACCTCGCCCTTGTATCAAGGGACGAGAACCTTGTAGCAAGATGCTTTTACTCTCTTGTAAATGCATTGCCAAAAGAAGCACGATCTTGTGATGACAACCTATATAGGTCAATAGACATGTACCTCAAGGTATGCATAATGTATTCTCTCTTTTCCTCCAAACTCAAAAAATTGTTTCAGAGTATGATTCATGGAAATTAAATGGTTTTCTTTCAGGAACATCCTGACCTAACAGAAGAAGAAAGAAGCAGTATATGCAGAAAACTGGAGTACCATAAACTATCACAGGAAGCGCGAACACATGCCATGAAGAATGATAGGCTGCCGGATAATATCAGGACACAATTTATACTTGTTGAACAGATCAATATGACAAGGTTACTGACTTCAGCTGGTTCAAGTTACCAACGGACTAAGTCACAGACAATAATGAAAGTCAGCAAAGGTGTAGGCAAGAGTTGGATGAATTCCTCCCAAAATGAAATGGAAATGATGAAACAAGAGGTTGAGATGTTAAACGCTCAAGTTGGTGAACTGAAGCAATGTAGGATGGAACTTCAAAGGCAAACCAAGAAATCTGTTTTTTGTTAGTTCGTTATGTTTCATGTCTGCTACATATCTGGTTCCTTGATTCTGACTATTGTAATCTTCTCTTGTAATTTCGAAGTGTTTTTGGTCAATCAACCTTAAGGTGCTGAGTTATTTTCAAACTTTGGGGTTAGTAAATAATTTTTTTTATTTTTTTTTATTTTTGCATCGAAAATTTTAAAATCAAATATGCAATATTTAGGTATATCGTAAAAAAACTTGTAATAGATCAACGGATCGACAATGTTACCATATTCTACCAAAGAAACTCTTAATATAGGCCAGCCTTTTCCCTCGTCAAAATATACCATTTTCAAGTAAGTTTTAGAATATAATTTTAATTGGGAGCTAACAATGTCATCTATTTGTAAGTTAGTGGGACACTATATAATTACCAACTAAAATGTACAAAGTACTCCGTTTATTTCATTTTATATGCCATTTTTTCTTGTTTATTTGTTCGCAAAAGAATAACAAATTTCTTTATTTAAAAATAATTTAATTCGTAAACTTTTACCTATACTGACATGATTTTAGAGTTAAATTATTATTTAACCACTATCATATTTAAAATCACTAGCTTCAAAGTTAATCTTTTTTTTTTAAAAAAAAATCATGACCTCACAATGAATCTTAAATTTTATTTTTCTTTCTAACAAGTGATGTGATATTTGTTGGAACACATGTAACTTAAAATTGGTACATTCAACAAAACTTGACAAAGGAAAATAATAAAAAAGGAATAAAATTGGAGTTCTTTTCCGAATAGATTTTGGCAGTTGTCCATGGCTGAAGACGGAGGAAACGCGGCGGAGCAACCGGCCTCCGACCCAAACCCGTGCCCTATTTGTCTTGCCCCAGTTACTGAAGAGTCTTACTTGGATCAATGTTTCCGTACGCTTCCTTTCTTTTTAGTTTTACACATATCTTCCTGTAGTTTATAAGCAAGCAGTCATTGTTAAGATGCAATTTCATAAGTTTTAAGCTCTAATTTAAGGAGTACCTTTCATATACTTTGGCCCTTTTTGCATAATTATAAATAAGTGGCATTTTGCTAAGTAATTGTAAAGTGTATAAGCTTTTGCTAAGTAATTGTAAAGTGTATAAGCTGTGGAAGAAAGCTATGTACGGATTGTTTCTGAATAAATCAGTTATCAAGTGCTTAAGCCATCATGTTATTTCTACAGACAAATTTTGCTACAATTGCATTCTGCGTTGGACCAAAGTGGTTACAAGCAATCAGTCTCGTGCACCTGCTTCAGTAAAGTGTCCTTTATGTAAGGTCCGAACTTGTTTTAATTATTTTGTTGGTTCCTATTTCTTCTAAGTGTTCTTAGTTTCATGAGCATTAGTAAAATAGATCCTCTCAAGAATTAGTAGCAGTTAATTGTAATTGGTAGAACTAATTTTTTGGGGGATTGATTGATGAACTATTATTAGCAATGATATGATTCCCTCTAGATCACGCCTCTCACGAGAGAGAGCGCTTTAACTTTGCAGTTACTTCTAGAAAAATGAAACATTTTCTGCTAAGATGGATTTGAGAGGATTCCAGTACTTTAATAGTGTGTCACACTTGTGAGGTCAAGACCATGGTATTACATATTTGGTCTTACAAACTTTTTGCTTGATCTGAAGAGTCGTCACGGAGCCTTGAACACAGTATGGATATACCAAAGCGGATAGATCATAGATGTGTGAATATATGCAATTTGTTTGTAAATGTTTTTCTGAACTTAATCAGATATTGGTCTCTTTAGAACTCTGTGTTGACTTTTGTTTGCCTCTTGAATGTTTTGGAGTAGCTTGTGTAAATTTTATTGGTGGGGAAAATGTTATGTATCTGGGAATTGAAATGAAATTGACATGGATTCTTTTTTCTTTTATCTGATCTTTGATGTACTGTATCAACATTTTGTCCAAAACAAAAAGGAGGCACAAAAAGACACAAAATTGACCATTACAAGCAGTAATGTTGTTAAAAGCTCGATAAAGCTCAAGTTACGTGCCTTGCCTTTCTCTGAGCTAACGTGCTAGGCATGCATCTCGTCAACCAGTAACTTTCTCATTATGAGGCAAGCACTATACAAAAGATATATTAGCAAAGTGATACATTTTCTTGTTGCTTTGCTGGAGAATTCTATATTTATTATACTTGTGCTTTTGATGTAAATTTAAATCACTCTATATTTCTGACTCTTCTAATAACTTACAAAAATTTCTCATTCTTCTATTATTAATTTAAATTATGCTGGATTTTGTTTCTTTCAACTCAACTCTCTTGTTTATGCAGACAGAGAATTTTTCTATTATAAAGAGCTATGGTGGAAGGTTTTTTCAACAACATTATGTGAATGAAAACTTGGACAATAGGTAGCAAAGTCCTCTATACTTCTTCTGCTTTGTATGTTCTCCCCTTTTTTTTTTTTTACTATTCTAAATTAACTTATCGTTTGACATTTGTATTCCAGCGTGTTCTTCACAAAAGCTCACAAGTATAGATTGCAGTGCTACTATACTAATGAAGGTAGAGTGCTTTCCATCACTGATTTACATATTCTCCATTTCTAGTGGATATCTTTTATGAGATATCACCTTGCTTCCAAGAACATAAAATTGGTAGTTCTGCAGGGGGCTTATTTGACAAATTCAATGTGCCACGTTATTGGAAGTTGCACAAGTATCTGCAGCCTAATCCTTGGCTTATAAGTTGGTTGAGAAGAGAAATTCAGGCTGTGACGCAGGTCCTTCAAACTTGTGATTTTCATTCATTGTTTAAATGTTGTAATCTTCTTTATAGATGCACTTCTAACCCAATCTCTTAATAGCTTTTGATTATGATGGTCAATAAAGACAATGATCCTTTGGATAACAAAAATGAGAAGTATATTTAATGATTCCGAGAGAAAACAACTTACTGATTATTATTGTGTGCTAACCTGTTTCTTACGTTCTTTGTCTGTGTTTATAGTGAAGTATGGAGGTGAAAACTCTTTTATTTCCAGAATGAACATGTTTTTTGGGTTCTCTGTAAGGTTGAAAGAGTGCCAATTTGCAACCAATAGGAAACTGTCCACAAAACCCAATTTGCATGTCCGTGGGTATTTCTTAGTCAATCTTTAGTTAGTCTTAAGTTGAAGGGAATCTTGGTATAACTGGACAATTTTTCCACTAAGAGTCGGATGGGATTTAATAATCTCTACAATGTTGGGGTACATCTGCCTAAGTTGAAGTGAATCTTGGTGTAACTGGACAATGTTTAATAATCTCTGCAATGTAGGGGTACATCTGCCTACAATCCCTAGTCTGATCCATGGAAAAGCTTCTTGTTAGCTATCACCAACAACTTGTTTCTCATCTTAGGCAACTGACATCCTATATGCCTATTTCCCTCCACAAATAGTAAAAATTCAACATAAATTGATGTCATTTTGGTCCCAATTTCTCATAAAATGATATGTAAACATTACGAATTGGCTAAAATACAACTTATTCTAACCTTCTTTCCTTGATTGTGAATAAAAATTGTAAAATGGGAATCATGGAGAACCTTGCTGATTACTTGATTATGTCATTCTCATTGCAACAATACATTAAAGTATGACTAGGTACATACTAATATTAAATTGATAATTCAATAATTCGCTCATCCTTGTAACATCACAAAACGTTATTTTATGACATTTCTGCTAAGTAATTCTTTTCCGTGTCATGCAGGAAGAAGATGTAGATATTATCGTACATCATATACTTGGTGTGATTGATTCATTTAGAAGGTAATGTAAAAAAGAAAAGTAAATTATTGATCGTTTCCATGCATTGAACTCGCCAATGTCAAGCTAACCTCTTTGTTTGCTTTCACCTCTTTGGGAAAACCAAATGACACGTTCTTGAAAATCAGTTACCTAATAATATTGTGTTATTGTTCTCATGTTCACTTAATTAATCTTCATTATACATTTTCAGTGTTACATGAATGCTTAGACAGTTGTTAATGTTGCAGAAACGAGCCAAAGCAAATAAAAGATACTCCACAAGCAAAGCAAGAAGAGTTCAAGATCATGGTATCTGAAGCAGCAAGACCTTTCATAACTGGTCGAACTGATCGATTTGTGAACGAGTTAGAACTGTTTCTAGCTTCATCTTTGACTATTGATGCTTTTGATAGTGTTTATATCCAACATTTGGGTTGGAAAATTCCTGAAAAGATCGAGGAGGGTGGGGTAGGAGAACCAGTTGAACAAGGCCCTTTAGTTCCCTATTTGTACTTCTTTGATGAGGATTCTGATGGAAATGAATAGAATACTGTCCTTATATGTCAAGGATAATAAGTTCACCTCACTTGCCAGATTTTAGCTGGTGCGCGGTTTGTCAACCCTGGATAATGTGTTTTGTTATTTCTCAAATCCATGGTTTTAAACTCTCGCACGCATGCTTGATCATCCATGTTTTCAAATTACAACAGTTCCAGATTTACTTCCGAGATTAGCTTGCTTAAAATTATTTAGTTCAAAATTTTGCCTCTATCATACAACTACAGAAATCAATTTAAATTAGTGCAAGGCACGTATAGCTCACATGTAGTTCTTCTTTGAGTTGTTTAAGTTCCACTACAACAAATTTTCAATCGATTCTGATTACATTTCCATCATTTTCATGTTACTAAACATTCGCATAATTTTTATGTGTTAAAGCAAGAGATACATAAAAGGTTAAAGATGTGAAAGATGAATACCTTTTTTGCACTGTAAGAAGCAGGTTTTCTAAAGACATTTAATTTTCAATTGATAGTTTTAAGAACTTTTGGTGGGTTCACTAATTACGTCTAATAAATTTAAGTTTTATATATTGACAATGTAAATATCTTTTGCATTCTTAGTATAGTTTAACCTACTATATCAATTAAATAATCGTTTTGTCTTGGTCAAAAATTAATATAATTTTAGGTTTAAGTTTTATGTCCATTGACAATATATAATATTGACAGTGTAAGAATTCTTTATATTATTGGTGTATATAACTTAAATACATAATTATAAATTATTATATATAACTAGCTTTCAAATGATCAATTTATATAAAAATAAGTACATAATCAGTGCGAAGAACTTAAACTCGAGCC